CTTGCCTCCGAACAGGAGGGTTGGCTCTGTGACACTAAGGTGTATTTGGTAATTTTCACACAAAAGTTTGACTATTGTGGAGAATAAAATCTAGTTTAAGAGCATCAAACATTAATATCAGCTGAGTTTCTTAACAACTGTGATATAATCTAGCACACTTCAATGGTGATGGTATGTTTCTTATGATTGAGATATTAAAAGATGATAAAAAGCACTTCTAAATATATATATACATATGGTTTTACTTATAAGTTATTTTCTGATTTTTAAGAGGGAACAGAATTTGCAGATGCTAATGTTTCATCTTTTTACTGTCCAATGGGATTATTTCCTTGTGGGGATGGACAATGTATTTCATCTGACAAAGTTTGTGATTTTACACCTGACTGTTCAAATGGCCATGATGAAGCCAAGTGCCGTAAGTGAAAATTTAAAAATCTCTATTGCTAGGCTCCTGTGATTATATTTGTTTGTCCTATTTGCCATGCTTCCATGACTTCATAAATCTTGCAATCAATTAAAAGTAAAAGCTCTTGAGAAATAGTTACTTCACTTTGATTCCATTCTGTGAATTTTCAGAGATTATAAATATCACAGTGTCTCAGTAATTCCTGATATTTAACTTCATTCCTACTATCAGTAGGGGAAGGGTTTGTTATCATTAGCATATTTGATGGCATTTGGCAAATAAGGGATTTAATTTCTATCTCCAACATCAGTTCTCTAAAAGGTCTTGCAGAAGGTTTGTTACTGCTTTGTGTGCCCTTTGTGTTCTCACGACCCACATGGTTCAGAGCAAGGTCTCTTTTCAGCACCTCCTCACCTATTTTGAGTGCTTTGGCTGCAGCATTTCAAGAGAGGAGTTGTTTTACCAAATACATTGCATATAGACTTGATGGGTCCCGTGCCACTGCTGTTTTACCCAACTGTTGTTAAACAAACACCTATTCTCTGCTATGAAGTGACACTCTGCCTCTCTCTGCCCCTTTCCTAGATGTATTTCTTGAATATTGATGACATATGAGAAATATTGTATTTCCTTTTAATACTGCAAAGCAGGTTTAGCAATGTCATCGATAGAAATAAAACATCTCTTTCTTCATTTCAGCTGCTGTATGTGACTTTGAAAGAGAGAGCTGTGGCTGGATTGAAACTGTGAATGGAGATGAATTTGACTGGGTAAGAAATTCCAGTCGTGCTCTTCCACCTGCATTTCAGAAGCAAGCTCCTCCACGGGATCACACCTACAACAGCTCCGAAGGTAGGAGAAGCCAGGCCTAGAAACAGAGAAGTGGAATAGATAAACCTGCTCTTTAACCATATTTTAAGTGAAGGCCATGAATGCTTTAAAAACCTTTATAAACCCTTTATTTCTTTAGTCTGAAAATTTGTTTTCTGTTTTATTTTGATAGGTCATTTTATGTTCATTCTGAAGAAGAGCAACAGCATTTCACAAATAGCTCGGCTACAAAGCCCAAAGTTCAGGCAAACTGGATCAAATTGCACACTCTCCTTCTGGTATGAAATAATTTAGATTTGAAATTCCTGGATTATCTCACATTGTTTCTCTTGGACTGAAATTGAGGTTATAGTTTGAAAGAGACACACCTTCCTCTATTTATTTCATTTTATTCTGTATAAATATGGTCTTCATTGTGAACAATATATAGACATTAGCTGAAACACTTGGAGAACAGAACTGAAATATGGAACGATTTTGTTGTCAGCGTCTGCATAAAATTATAGTAAGGGATTATGCTTGCATATAAATTAACAAATACTAGTCTTTTTGCTAGCAATTCTACTTTATTTAAGTAAACTTAAAAATATGGAATTTTGTTCAAGAACAGGAAAGCATTGAAAATTCTAGTAGGTCCTTGAATCACCTACAGTATCTATAATTAGATCTGTAAGCAAAAGCACCAGGGCAAGAATTGGTGCTTTGTTTCCAGCACTTTTTTTATATACACAGAGCAACAAAAAATAAAAATCAAAAAACCCCACAACCAAAAAACCACAACCAAACCCAAACAAATAGCTTCAGTTATTGTCTTGTCTCAGTCTTTATGCAATGTTGTCAAAGATGGGCAGAAAAAATAAACTGTGATAATTTTTTTCTAAGGCCAAACTGGTGCTATTGTTGAAATAAATGTTTGGCCTGATTTTGATATTATTAAGTGCAGTTTGTCTCAGTAATGTCAGATACATCTGCCACAGGAATAAGAAATGCTTTTTTATACAAGACTCGTGACTTGGAGTGTAGGTCTGGGAATTGCAAGTTGTTAGTTGCATTTCTGCTTCTGTTCCCAGTTTTGTTGTACAATTGCCAGCCTAAGAATTTAGGATTTTTAAATGCTTTGGGATCCTCCAAGAATGCTGTAAAAGGCAACATGTTAACAATAACTAACATCCATTGGAGGTGTACTTCTGCATTCAGTAAGTGTACTGTTTTTCCTTCTTGAAACTTTACAATTATGTATTACATTAAATTTATTAAAAGATTTTTTTATCTAAGTAAGTATCTAAGTAAGCAGCATTTGTTATATAATATGTGTATCTTTGGTTATGGCTTTTCATTGAATGAAGTATACTACTCTCAAATTCTTCAGTTCATGAAATGAGGGCTAGACTGATATAGCAGCCTATCCTATCATCATTCAGAAAATGGATTGAGTTACAGGAAATAGGCACTGTAGACTTCCTATATGGCACAGAGCTATAACAGAAAAGATACTGGTCTTTGAAGCTGATGTGGTCCATTCCCATCATTTGCCCACTTAACATTCTTTTTTTATCATTTTAGGTATTACAATTACGGGCAGTCAGTTGGGGCAGCAGAGCTGCAATTGCTTGTGGATGGGCTGAAACAGCCTACTGTGCTTTGGAGGACATATTACAACGAGGGAAGTCAATGGTTGAAAGCAGTCGTTCAGCTCGGACGCCTTCCACATCCTTTCCAATTTTCACTCGATAAAATCAGTCTGGGTTTTTACGATGGCGTCTCAGCAATTGATGATATTACATTTGAAAACTGTGCTCTCCCACCTCCATCTTTAAGTTGTGAAGGTCCTAATCACTTCTGGTGCAGAGACACGAAAGCATGTATTGACAGTTTATTGGTCTGTGATCTTGTGGATAACTGTGGGGATGGATCAGATGAAGACAACTGTAGTAAGTACTTTCCATTGTTTCTTGCTTTATATCACACAAAAATTTACTTACCAATTCATCCCTGGAGTGAAAAAGCACAGAACTGTTACAGCCTATCTATGTCACAGCCAGTGATGATTCCACTGAATGTACTTACTGATGAAGAAGAATGATACCTTTAAACTTAGATGCATAGATGAGTTACAACTGAGGGTAAACAGATTTCAACCTCCTTTATCCAAACCAGTTACATTTCTTTAACTCATGTAAAACACGAACATGCATTACAAGTTTATTGCAAAAAAGAGGATTTATAGTCTGACAGTTGATTTGGGTCAGCATTCTGTCTTTGATTGTACTGATGGAAGTACAATGGAAGGCATACTGATCGACTGAGAGGAGTGTATGTCTTATCTCTTCTTATGAACTATACTCTTCCTAGCCAAAAAATGCTTAAAGATCTTTACTAAAGATAGTTGTCATGCTGGACATAATTGTCCCTTTAAAAGAAAGAACTTGCAAGTTCTGTGGAAAGTCATTCACATTTTTGACATTGCCCTTTTACTGCTGAAGGGTGCTGTGGATGGTTTTCTTCCTGAAGCATGCGTTCATCAGTTTGAAGAACTCAAGAACATTAATACAAAATAAAATTAACTAGCAGTTGCTTTATCACATCCTGAGGTAACTAAATTATGCAAATCACAATCAGGTTGATAAAAGGGGAACACCTCATATGCTTGAGGGGATATCAGTCTGCTGTGGTATTTGCCGAATATTGACTTAAAACTGCTCTAAATTGAAAAGAAAGTGAAGGCTTTCCAGCCTATCTCAGTTTTCCTGCTTTTGGGATGTCTGTCTTCTTTATAATTCAATTTGAGGTCTGCAGTAAGATATGAGTCACAGTTTTGAACATCATTAAAAGCAGCAACTTAATTTTAAAATAAAAGAATTGGCTATAATGTCAGTTACTGTTTATGGAGAGCAAATGCAAATTTGGAATGCAAGTTCACCTCCACTGCTGCACATTTTATTGTTTTACATCAGAAGTAATTGGGATAATCAATATATTTTGCCTTGCTGTCAAACAAAATAGTGTTGTTGTGTTATATAAGCCTCTCTTGAATTAGCTTTGATAAAGCTATCATGCTACTATTATCGAGGATAATAAAGATCTGAATAACAACCCATTTTTAGGACTTTGTCTGCCATGCAAAAATATATTAAATCCCATAATACACATACCTACACAACTGTATCCTGGGGTTTATTTCATCCAATTAACCTCAGTTTTGACTCCTTTATTCAATTAAATTTCAGTTAAAAAACTCTGCATGCCTTAATTATGATAATACATAAAATTAATAGCATGGATAATAAGGTGTTTTTCACAGTTCTGTTTATTCAGTAAATTATGTACAGTTTGACAACTCTATTTTGAAAGATAAGGTAAATTTTTATGTACAGACTTTGTCCTCTGAAGGATATATGTATATTTATATACATTCATACATATACATACATACATATATATATATATATATACCCACATTAATATATATTTATCCTTCTGAGGAGAGTGTTTGCAAGAAGAATAAATGATTTTTCCTGTATACTAGAAAGATTTTTTTGGCAAGGATGAAAAAATGGTGTGAGAGGACTATACCTTTTCAATACTGTTTTTTTGACAGTCTATTCTGTTTACATTTCAGACCCTGATCTACAGTGTAACTTTGAAAATGGGCTGTGCAATTGGGAGCAGGATGTAGAGGATGACTTTGACTGGATCAGAATACAGGGTCCAACCCCCACTGTCAATACAGGCCCATTAAAGGATCACTCGACAGGCACAGCCAGGGGACACTACCTTTACATAGAGTCCTCTGAGCCACGCCAATTCCAGGACAAAGCAGTTTTGCTTAGTCCTCTCTTCAACCCTTCTGCCAATGGACCTTGCGTTTTCCGCTTTCATTATCATATGTTTGGAAAACAAGTTTACAAACTGTCTGTCTTCCAGAGAACTGTGAGTAATAGTAAGGGATGGCTGTTGTGGTACAAGTTTGGAAATCAAGAAAACAGATGGATCAGACAGACTCTCTACATCAAAAGTTCTAAGCCATTTCAGGTATGATCCTTCTAGACTGTCAAGTGCTTACTTGCTGCATCATAAAACATTGAGAGTGTATAAAAGACTGGCCAATCTCAATTTATCTGATCAAATTTGCTTTAAAACATATTTGTAGGGGGTTTTGAGGAAATATGTCAAATATTTTTGTAGTTGCATTAACTTTTCTTCCTGGAGTGCTTATTTTAAGGTTTCAAAGAGGGACACGTTATTTCAAGTAGATATTGGTTTTGTTTTTCAAGGATTTGGTGAACAAAACTTCTTTGAATCTACTACAGAAGAGCTTGGCAAAAAAAATCGATTCATTAATGGGAAGACTGTTGAAAAGGATATCCTCTGCTTTGCCTTGTTTTTCCAGAGCTACAAATTCATCTTGAATGATATAATGCCAGAAAAGATAACAGTTCCAAATATTTGGCTGCAAGGCTAGACTAACAATCAGATATCATTTGGTGAAAGATATGATTATAGTCAGTTACAGCTATAAATCTTCACGTATTTTCTCACTTTTGAAATATTTTATGTATTATTTACCTTTCACTGTGCATGATCTAGTTATTCTAGTTGGGTTATTCTTTCTTCTCTCTCTTTCTTAAACATATCCTATGCCTACTACTTTATCTAAAGATCTATAAATGATGTGTCCTATATTTGACCTCCTCAGGGTTAGGTAGGTCTGTTCAGTAACTGCAAATATTTCTCCTATGTTAGCATTGTATGGGTTTCTGCTGTACTTACCCAGTTCTGTGAAGGGAATTTCAAAGATCTTATATTCTTTGAAGTAATTTTGTTTTTCATAGTCATTTTTGAGGGGTATGAGGTACAGCTTGTTCTGAAGAAAGAGATCAAGATCTAATGTTCACTATTGTGTATTGTGCTTCTTATGATGGAGCTTGCTGTGTCACAACTTGCAACCCTTCAAAACTCAGAAATTTTGAAGAGAACAAGCTGTATTCTGTTTCTAATAAGTTGCCAAGTGCTGATCTCTTTCCAATCTTTCTTTTAAGTACTTTGTGTTTGGATGTCTCCAGAGTTAAAGACATGTGAGGGAAGGATTTTCACACTGTTACCACTTTTTCCCCAAAGTATTTCTACTGAGATGTGTACTAGAACAGCTTTTCTGTTAGTTTGGGGCTGTATACTGGCTGGGTAACAGTATTAAAGCTGTAGCTTCCATATTTATTATGTTGTGCTCCCCACACCCTAAAAAGGTAGTGGGTCACTGCTTTCACACTACACCCTTAAAGTCTTGTAAGTCATCGCAGTGCTTCAAAGAGAATATTTAGATTCAGTTGAGAAAGGATATTTTTTTCCTTGAAAGTCTAAAAATATGATAGAAACTCTCAATATTTTTTGGGTCAAAATACATGTCTTGGTTTCATAACCTTCTCCATCTCTAGCCAGAGTATCTTGTTAGCTGTTTTGGGATTTTCAGAGATTCTTAGTGGCTAAAACATCTTAGACTTTTGGACCAAAGATGGACTAATCTTTGTCAGACAGACATTCATTTTGCTTTTACTCTTCTAAATGTATGAGATAATCATACATCCTCTTCCTCTTTCTTTCCTATATAAGTAGGTCATCTGTTTACCACATTCTAAGAAAGAATCACTATGAATAGTGAATCCCTTAAATTAATGTTTTCAATTTATTTCCTAATCATGGGAAGCCAACTTTGGGAGCATAGAAACAATTGTGCTGTATGCTAACTTCCAGGAAAAGGAGGAGCTGTCAGCCAAACAGGCCCTTAAATTGAATGCTCTGGTGGAAAACTGAAGGCAACAGCTCATGCAAACTCCCTTTGCTTCCACTGGGCCTCAGAATGTTGAATTTGTCAGGAAATCTGTTCGAGCTGCTATCAAACCATGGCTGGAGTTTGTTGCTGTTCCATCAGATGTTTAACATCAAAGTGGCAAATGTGACATCAGTGAGCAGAACAGCAGTAGCTGGAATAGGAAAAGGGAAATTTAGAGCTAAATTATTTAAATGAAAGGAATGCAGTTTTCTGAGACAAAAGTAAACATGTTTATCAGATACTAGTAACAATACTAATATTAATACTGACAAGTAACAAAAATGGTCCAAAATGCACATGCTTATAAATATTTTGCAGCTTTATTGATCTAGAGTTTCCCTACCACTGCAAAGGATATAATAATATGCAGGAAATTCTACTATTGCTTTTTTTATTTTAAATGATTCAAGTTAGAAATAAATTCCTTATAAGCTACTCCTTTTTATTACATGGGAGTCTTGTTTCAACATGAAAGAGAAGACACTGTTCAGTGTCCTTGTATTTTTATTTGATCTGCATTTATTTTCATCTCCCTAGGCAGTAAAATAGGAATCTGTCCATGGTAACCTACTTATATAGATGAATAGTGTTTGCTTTTATCTTCCTTGAATAATCATAATACCTGAAATAGTTTCTGCTCAGAAGAAAGTACAAAAATCCTGTTTGAACATCTTAGATAAATGTTGCTTTCTTAGTGTGCTCTATTCATTCAAATTTCTGTGGACACAAAAAAAGGAAGTTGTGATATGTGAACAAGGGCAAAATTCTGTCTCTCAGTCCTTCTAGCCATGATATCGATTCCATACCCACCATGTCTGTCTTAAGAGGTTTAGGGCAACTTTACTATATTGCAAAATAGTAATTTAAAAAAAATTAAGAATTATCTTTATCCCAATCCAATTTTTCACTTTTTGCTCATCTGCAGTATATGTTTATCTCTGTAAACAAAGATGGTTATAGATCTTTGATATTCCAAAGCAATACATTAAAGAGTTTAGCATTCCCTTATATTATAAAGATCAGTCATTTTTGTTTTTCTAAGTTGGATCTTATGAAATTTTAAAATGCAAATACACTTTTTAAGTACATGATTAATTATTAATGTTATATTTGGGTTTAATTGCTAAAAGTTTTAGTATTTTGAGTATCATAAATAAAACTTAACATGTCTCTTCAAATATAAAACTTTCTCCACTTTAAGTATGAAAAATAATGGCCAAAATCAGGAGAAAATAAATAATTAAAATGCACTGAAAAATACTAGCTTATGAAAGTTTACATGCAAAATAAAATTGCAATTAAGTAGATATAAAATGCATTAGTATTTTCTTATTTTACAAGTTGTAAAGAAAAGTAAACAACAAAATCCACTGTAATAATTTTAATCATGTTACCAATTAGGTGTAAGCTTAGAAAGTAATGGAATATTGATTGAAAATTAGAATGGTACATTTGCTATGAATATAGAATAGCATTATGTTCTATGGACACAAATACAAACCAACCTTCTTTTTCTGACTACTATTTTTAAGATCTAATATTGAGCTCTTTTTTTGCTATATCCAGGTACTTCTTGTATTATGGATTTGGTAAACCTTTGGCATATCAGTTTGGTGTCAAATACATACTTAGTAAACATGAATAATTTGCATCCAGGCTCTTGCCATTCATCTAAAAACAGAGAGGAAGGGCTAAAAAATGCATTAAGGTACTACCAGGTAGCTTTCCACAATTACATAGGTAGTTTTACTTTTTCATCCTCTACTCCCTTGCATTTCATTCCTCAGTGAGATGAGATTGTGATTGTTCTTTGGGAATTCTGATGATCCACTATGTAAAAAGTGAAACAGCATCACAGAGCTCATTTTTCAGCTATTTCTGCAGTTCTAGCAGTTTTGTTCAATTACTTTTCTAAGAAGAGAGTGGATTGACCAACACTCCAACCCCACCAGCCATTTCCATAATGCAAAGCTCAGAACTCTAGTGGTAAATGAAACTTTATTTATTTTTTTTAACATGTAAAATACCTTTTACTACTTTTGCAGATTTCATTGAGACCGGATCTCTAGAGTCCTGAAAATGAGAAATTGGGAACTATTAATTCTTATTCAAATAATAAATGAGATGTGAAATGAGCTTCATGGTAGATGAATTCCCTGGAGGTTGCTTAATAATAGCTTATGAAATTTGCAGAATTACAACTTGCAAATTAATTTAAGTGGTCAATGTTTAACCACAGCTGCAGAAAGACTATTCTATATTGAGGCACTAACTCATAAATTGGCCTTATTTTCAGTTTTTAAGTCTATGCCTACACAGCTGTGTACATTTTCTCTGTTTCTAATGAATTCATACTATATGCCAGTGTCAGACTCCCCAAGTATATAAATAAATGTTAAAGAATAATTTGGGTGGGAGACATTACATAATACAATCATAACCATCCTCGTAACGATACAGAGGTATTCTGAACTCAATTTACCCCGACAAAACTGGGTCCTGCCACTTCTAGATTTGGGTGGTTTTAATCCCTTAAGGAACTTATTCCTGCTTAAGGTGCATGAGTGAGAATTCCTCAAGGGAAAGGTTGGTGGAGGATGATAGATGAGGATGGCCTCAGCCCCTGTGGCTGTTGTGGCTGGGGACATGGCACAGGAGATATGGGGAGAGAACTCCTCCAACTCCCTGTTAACATCCACCAGTGCACAATAGAATGCCACAGAAAATTAATGTAGTGTTGAGGCCACTTGGGTTTGTCATAGTAATAAATGTGTACGTAAACAAAACCTCTGCCTCTTTGTTTGAATTTTAGCTCATTAATGAGTGATTAATTACTAGTAGTTAATCATTCATGCTTTGAAAACAAATTCTAAATTAGATTTAAAATGTTGTGTGTTTTCTAGTAAAAATTACCCTGAAAGGAGTTGTGCAATTTTAGAATAATGAATGTGTGGCATTCCCAAATATTAGATGTCTTGATTCGTCCTAACCCTTTATTGCTGTTGGTACCAGTACCATAGCATTGCCCTCAATTTAACCTAAACAGGAAGCAAAAGGCTGAGGTGATATTGCAAAGAACATTTGTAGGCATTCTGAGGGGAAAATAAGAATCTCCTACTGGGAAGAGAGCTGTAAAAAGCAATCCTGTCATTTGCTGTTGTCGGTCACATGAGATACATTTTATGCTAAAATAACCCATCTTGAGCATATCTGTAGTATGGCACATAACCTGTCTTCTTTCGACATACTCATTTATTTTGTCTCATGGACATAGTATATACCTGGTGCAATTATTTTTATTTACTCTGGTGATGTCAGCATCAGCAATAAATCTACTATTCACATGCAACTTTGGAATAGCAGAAAAAAATTAGTGTTGACATGTTCAGACTGATATAATTCTTTTTCTTTTACAAGGTTAATACCATTCCTTGGACCTTCTAAATATTTTTTCCTTCCTCTTACTTGGTAATAAATTTAAAGTGTGAAGTTTAAAATTTCTGCATATATGCCAGGTGAACAGTGGTTCTTAGTGTGGAGATGGATTCTTTATTTCCCTCAATTTACTGAGGAGTTTGCTTAAAACACAGAGCTGATTTCTGAAAATGGAAATGATTTACACAGCTTCGTTTGGAATAAGACAAAACAAATACTGAAATATAAAATGCAAGCATATATTTCTGAAATGGCATTTGATATAAGGATATATCAAAACATCAGTGATATTTGATCAAAACATTAGAGACACATATCAAAGCAGAAGTGCCTCTATGAGTTCAGAGAAGTGTTTCATTACTTTTTAAAAATAACCTTTCTTTGCAAACAAAATTGCAAACAGGTAAATTGCAAAAAAATATTAGCACTAACAATACTGTTAGTGTGAAGCAGTATTGTTGTATTTTTGCTACTATTAGTACTTTATTCCTTTGTAGGAATTTTCTATTAAACTGTGGAACAAACTGTGAAAAATACATTAGGAATTTTATGCAGCATTTCAGAATAATCCTGAAGTTTGAATGCATGTGTGTGTAATATGTGACATAAGTATTTTTTAAAAATGGCAGAGAAATAACTAATATTTGAACTCCATTGGATCAGCAAAAACATATAATTGTGTTTTTTAAACTGTATGGTTTGAGGAGGGTTTATTATTTTTATTAATAGGGAATTATTAATTAGTTAAACTAAGAAAATTCTCACTAAATTTTTCCCTAATCACCTGCTTGGATATTTACTATTTGGCAACAGTCAGAAGAGGCTTATCCAGTGTTCCAGAGAGTATTTCACAAACACTAACCTCTCCCATTCATTGGCAGTAGACACTAATGAGAAAGTGAAGCACAACATTGGTAACTCTAATGAAATAGTAGAATATTTTTCTTTAAAAGGTTCCATAGCTCATCTCTAACCTGCTTAATTGTTTTCATCACCCTGGGATTTGTATAAGGATCTATAATTTATTCAAGTGAATGTTACTATATTTAAGCATGATTAATGTTATTACAATAAGTACCAAAGGAGTTAATTATAATATGCCACTTATGATAATGTCTTGCCATCATTATAGATCACAATGTTTCAGTGAATTTACATGATTGTGAAGCCAACCATCCTGTTATGGTTCACTGTGATTAATGTGACCAGTGAAAGCTGATAATAATTAGTCTCTTCCATAAAATGTCACTAAACAGAATATATCCCCTAGAACAAATTTAATTCCATTTGAAGTGTTTAACATGGCAAATGACTCCTCTATCAATTCAGATGAAATATTTAATGAGGAAATCTACTATACACCAAAAAATGCTTTTGTAATTCTTGTTTCCCCAGATCTTGGTGAAAGGGACCGTGGGAGATGGTTTCACTGGAGACATTGGACTTGATGACGTGTCTTTTCTAGGCTGTAGTCTTTACAATGGTAAGAAAAGAATTGAGGTGTACATCTCCTAGCAATGAGCTGATTTATTGCTGTAATCTGTAAATATTTCTATTAGAAAAGCAAAAACCATAACAAACTGTGGCCCATGCCTGACAAGGAAATCCAGACTTGTTTCCCTGCTTCTCAGCCCCTCCTGTCCAGGCATCAGCACAAAACAGTTTCTGCTGTGCACATATGGTCCAAAAGAGATCCTCAGTGAGAAGTGTGCACTTTCCAGACTCTTTGAGACCTTGATTCCCAGAAGGACAAAGAAACTTCACTGTGTGTAAACAAGCTGAACTTCCATTCAGCCAATGTGTTTGATAGAGCCTTCCACACTCCCTCAAGAACTCCTAGCATATTTACTCTGCCAATTGCTCTCACAGGACAGCACAGCAATAGTTCAGATAATACCTCCCTCAAGAACTCCTAGCGTATTTACTCTGCCAATTGCTCTCACGGGACAGCACAGCAATAGTTCAGATAATAGAGCACCCTGTTCTCAGATGTCATTGCTATCAGGGGTAGTACAATGTCTACAGAACTGTAAAATATTAAATCCCAAAATATATGTACTTCAAGACACCAGACTCGAGGCCTGTGTGTTCATCACGGTAGGGATTTCAAAAGGACTACTGCTCCTTGCAGGAGGCACTGCAGGGTTATACATGGTGTGACTGTTGATGTAAAGTCAGGACAGGGCTGCAGAGCAGCAAACAATTTAGAACAGTGTATGAATATCAGTATCCTAGCACTAACTCTTAAACACTCTAGTGCAGATGCATTTTGTTCTGCTACTCCAAAATCTTATTGTAGGTATAATTGGGTCTACTAGGAATGTCAAGTGTGTATGACATGTTTCTTTTGCAGATAGTTATCTCATTCTTTACTTAATTTATAGAGTGTACAGCATTTATTAAAACATTTTGAATATAACGTATTTATTGTAAATCGTTAATGTACAATGCCTTATATTCAAGGAAGAAAAACTTAGAAGAATTCAGAAAACCCCAAAGTATTTTCAAATGAGTGATGAAAGAAAAGTTTAAAAATAAACAATAAATTTGAAAAGTATACATGGTCAGAGTTTCAAAGTTCATAAATGAGGAAAAATAAGTGCTCATTTTGTGTGGAAAGATAAAATAAAACACTCAAGTATAAAGGTGGACAGGAATCAGGTCTTGTGTTCTGTATATTTTTTAAATGGTTTTAGTGTTAAGAACAGTTTTTGGACATTCTGGGGTCCTGCCTTTATTTTATTTCCTCCAAGCCATAAAAACAGTCAGAGATCACTGGAATACAAAATAAACAATGGCTATGTCATATTCCCCCATATTTAACACAAGTGGGATCTGTTTGACAAAGCAGGGCTCCCAGCTCCCTGAACCCTAGAATTAACAACTCATGCTCAGCTGCTCCTGCTGCACTTTAACCAGATACTGACCAGAGAGAGATGGGTGTGAGAGCTTGCTGGTAAAATCCCTCATAAGTAGTATTAAAGATGTTGAATCCTGAGCATACCACTTCAACACATCATTTGACTGCCCTAACCAAAGGCTATTTAATGATTGTTGCTCTGGGAAAAAATGGTATTTCATAAATGATAGAAAATTCATTGCTTCAAAATAGAGAATGTAGAACATCCTCCTTTCTCCTCAGGTGTTGGAAAGGTTACGGTACTTCAAAATTTCTTCTCCTGTTCCAGTGGAATGGGAAAAGAGACTTGATTCTGGCATATATATATATAAAAATTTCTGACCAATAAGTTCCTTGCTGTTATTATGAGTTGTAGCTAAATTTATCAATTCAAGCAATTCTTCCTTCAAATTTTTCCTTCCCCTAAGTCATTTGTTTGATTCTTAGGATATTATGGAAGTATCATTCATTTTCTTGGAGCATAATTTATTTGATGTCATAGGTGTGCTTTCTGCCTTACAAAATAGAAATGACTCCTGTTCATGGGTAATTTATTATCAATATTAATGCTCCAGGCTTTAGAGGGAAAAAAATTTCTTGCTGTCCGAGACACATTTAATATAAAAATCTTCACATGTACTTTTTAATTAACTGAGGAGTATTGCTCAACTGCATTGTGCACTACAGCTAATAATTTCATTAACAATTAAATTTTAAAAAGGAGTTGTATAATGAAAATTCCTTTTATGGACAATAATAACAAGGGTTTTCAAGAAAGGTGCATAGCAAAGAATAGGAGGAAAAGAAAAGAAAATTGATTTGAAAGAAGTGGTAATGAGTTTGAATGAAACATAAAGGAGGTAGTGGAACAAGGTGGTGACCTGAGAATAATTTCTCTAATGAGAATAGAATCTTTTTTTCAGTGATGAATTTACAAGGTAAGAAGGTTACATAGTAATTTCCACAGTCACATGCAGCAATCCACATGTTAAAAAAAGCCATTATCATCAGAATGATCTGTTAGCCTTGGTTCACAGTTTCTGTGATTGTTTTGTCAGTCTCAGTGACATTAGTTTTTTGAAATGACTCATTGAGTTAATCTGAATCTGAAAGACAGGCATGACAAAGCTAGTGCTTTCCACTGAGGAAATGTTCAATTCAGCTCCTGCTGAGCATCATTTAAGACACTCAACACAACTGGCCAGGCATGTTTCCTGTAAAGCTACATGCTTGACACATGGTGGAAGTGGCAAGAAGAGAAATCATTAGGAAGCTGGAATGCCTTGGCCCAGGCACTCAACCTTCTGTTGGTTTGATTTTCGAAGGGAATTTGCCCACAGTCTCTACAACTACTTCAGGAACTTCAGTCCCTGCCACGCTCCCCATTAACAATTGCACAGAGAAGGAGTTTGTCTGTAGAGACTCTGGCAGCTGCATCCAGATGATCCAGAAGTGTGATTTCAGACCTGACTGCTCTGATAAGTCTGATGAATCAGCCTGTGGTGAGTGTCTGTCTTGTACTTCGCTACCTTCTTAGTTTGTGGCTGCTCTGTGTTTACCTTTGCAGTTTGGTATTAGCACATAGATTCTATTTTAAATATGATTTTCCCCAGGACAAAAATAATAACATTTTGCTCTTAATGTGGGAATTTGAGATGTCATGTACTTTCTGTCTTCTGGTTCAGACTCAACCTTTCAATTCCAGTGACTACTGAAATGGGGCAGGGGAAGGAATTCTCAGTTCCCTAAGGATTGGTAGCTATACATGACAATTTTAAATGAGCATCATTTCCTAGAATGTCCTGGAGTCCAGACTGGGAGCAAGAATAACTTAACAATCTAATGTTTGGTGTGGGTGTCTGGGAGACTTGGATCCACTTCTTATTTCAATGAATATGGGGATTGCTTTTTTGGTTGTTGGGTTTGTTGGGTTTTTTTCATACAAAGTAGTTTCAGCAGCAGCAATAATTGTGAAATTCAGCCTACTCCACACAGAAGTGAGTTTCAGCCTCCGACAGTCAGATGGGAACATGGTCCCTCCATATGTTGTCCATAAAGGTCTAAGGAAATCGTTGATTGCTTCTGAGTTGCAGCAGTTCACACTACAGCATTTTAAAAGAAGTTGTTAATGACTTGCTTTTGCCTTGAAGCATAGTACTTGAAGTACTACTTTACTGAAGCTAATTAATGAGGGGGACAGACATCTAGAGACAGTGACCTCATCAGCTTTTGCAAGCAAAACTGTTCTCACTGAAGATCAAAACTCTGAATTCATTACACACTGGGTAGGGAACTCAATCACCTCTCTCAGGGCTGAGGGCTGAGTAAGAAAAAGGAACATTAGACTCCCTATATCTATTTCTTATGTGGGAATTACTGGAGGCAATGAATCTAATGTATAAATATCACTGGGTAGTTTCCTACAGTGTGAAAAAACACCAACCATAGAAATCTTGCCCTGAAAAATAAATGCAGAGCCTTCTGAACAGAACTTACATTCCCCCCCTCAGAAATTTACATTATCTTACAAAACATCCTTTCCTCCTGAGCAAGATAAATACTGTGAAGAATACACCTTTACATATTTTCTCTGTCCTAGGTCTCCCATCACTACAGCAATGATGGCAATTTATCACACAAATGTCCTGACTGAATCAGAAATATGTTCTCAGGAAGGTGTTATCTTTCTCAGAGACATTTGAAACATAATGGTTACAAAGCATGTTCAAAAGGGGAATAAACACTTGGTGCTATACCACTCATCATTCTCAGGAAACATCACAAATTTTTATATGGGCAACTCAGGAGATCACACTGGCTCTGGTTTCCTTCCATACTGGGGATATACAAGCTATAAACCAAAACTTGCTGTCTCCTCAGTCTACCATTTTTAGCCTCTAAGGGAGGAAGCATCAGGCACATTCTCCTAACACACTATGATTTCTTGATGAAGCATATAAACTTCATGGGTTAAAATAAATTCTCATTTTCTGTGCACAGTTCTCACAGCAGTAACTTTTACTGGAGTATAATAACCTATTCCATAGTTCTGAAGTGTGGCTAGACTGAACTTGGATCATGTAGGTGAAGTTTCTTTAAAATACTCAGGAAGATGTACTAGAGAATAAATGTTCATAGCAGAAATGGAAAATGTGTGTTTAATTCTCCTAAGGAAGGTCAGTAGTGAGTTCACTTTTCTTGCCCCCTTTTCTGTTAAGGATTCATAAACTCTGTTACAGGCAGATGTATAGTTATTTAGTAAGGTAACAATTCATGTTTTGACACCAATACCAAACAGCTGGATTTTTATGTAGCTTTCAGGGTTTGTGGGGACTGTTTTAAATATTGATTTGTTTTTTTAGAGTTTTGGTCATGGAATTTGTATACAACATACAATGATTTACTAATGTCATCAGTCTACAGGACTGAAGTAAGAACCATGAGCAGCTCATAGATCCCAGCTGATGAGTTTTACATGCATTTCCATGTATATCACATGACAGATTATTGGAATGACCTGAAAGCTTGTCAGAACACATAAGAAGGTTTATACTGAGGTGCAAATGCATTGGTACATTCCCCAAATTTGAATTTGCCTAATAGAGAAGAGCATGGAAATTGTTGTTTCATCTACAGAGGTAAAACTGTGCATGTTAGTACTGTGAAAGTATTCATGGACACGATAAATTGAATCCCTTTTGTTTCCATGTTGCTGTGAGCAAATGATTTTCAGTTTGTATATAAACATGAAGTATTCACCTCTATAGCTATGGAAGTCTGTGACTTTGAAGATAAAAACCTGTGTGGATGGCATCAACCAGCATTGGAACAGATGTCAGGAAATTATTCTGTACATATCACAAATATATTCAAGTGGAAGCTTGGAAGAGGGGCAAATCTCTACCCTGAGCAAGAGCAAGACAGCCCTTTAACTGATCATACTATGTGAGTACAATTTTATAGGTACTTGAATCTTTCTTAGAATGTGTGAGCTCAGCCACTTATTTACTGTCGGGAGGGAAAACTGCTCAGTTCACAATACTGAAGACAGAATTTACAGAATTATTAATGGCATGTAATTAACTGACAACCAGGAAAGTAGTGCAGCAGAAAGGGACCTGGGGGTCCTTGTTGATGGCAAGTTGAATATGTGTCAGCAGTGTGCCCTTGCAGCCAGAAGGGCCATCCATGCCCTGGGGTGCATCAGGCATCGCTGGCTGGTCAAGGGAGGTGATTGTCCTGCTCTACTCTGCACTGGTCCAGCCTCACCTTGAATATTGTGTGCAGTTTTGGGCACCACAATATAAGAAAGATATAAAGTTATTAGAGAGTGTCCAAAGCAGTGCAGCAAGGATAGTAAAGAGCCTTGAGGGGAAGCCATATGAGGGGTGCTTGAGGTCACTTGGTCTGTTCAGCCTGGAGAAGAGGAGACTGAGGGGAGACCTGATCACAGGACACACCTTCATCATGGAAGAAGAGTGGCAGGCACTCACCTCTTCTCTCTGGCAATCCATTATAGGACCCGATGGGATGGTCTGAAGTGCATGAGGGCAGGTTTAGGCTGATATTAGAAAGTAGTTTGTCACCCAGAGGGTGGTTGGGCACTGGAACAGCTCCCCAGGGAAGCTGTCACAGCCCCAAGGCTGACAGAGTTCAAGAGGCATTTGGCAGCACTCAGGTACATGGTGTGATGGTTGGAGATGTCCTGTGCAGGGCCAGAAGTTGGACTAGATGATCCTCAATGGTCCCTGTTTTACCATTTTCTGATAAATGACATAACTTCATATTAGAATGAAAAATAATTCTGTTCTCTCAGTGAAGATTTCTAAATATTATATTTCAGGTAGATTAAGATAATCACAAACTCCCCTCCAATATATTCCTTTGAATTGTCTCAAGAAGCAAAAATTAGCTTTTCTACATGAACATTTGGGTTTACCTGATTTGTTTGTTCTGTTGGCTTATTTTAAAGTAAGAGCAAAAATTAGCTTTTCTACATGTACATTTGGGTTTACCTGATTTGTTCTGTTGGCTTATTTTAAAGTAAGAAATGTAATTTTAAAAAATGCATGAATGCAATATATATTCTAGTTTAAAGTAACAGTTAAGATACATTGAAACAAAATCACTACAGTTGACTAGGAAATGTATTGAATACAAACAGCAATCAATGTTATACAACTTCATTAATAAGGAAATTTCTGTACAATGTAATTATTCTGAACAGATAATTACTTGCCTATTTGTAGTGATGTGTTTACCTCCTGTGACAATCACCCACAGAGTGCAAAAATGGACTTTATATTGAGACCACTCCAACAGAGTCTTTGCTATATTGCTAATAGTTTTAAATGACATTATATTGCGTTTACTCAGCCTGAGTGTATTCTGTCACCATTAAAGAATCAGCTCAATGTTAGTTTCACTGTGTACTTCATTAAAATCACTGTATATTTTTACAAAAAAAAACCAACCCCACCCCAAAACATCAATACCAAACCCACAAAAAGTAATTCAACAATAGCAGGGAAGAACAACAATGCTACCTAATTGTTTCTAGGTCTCTACATTATCCATAAAAAGGAAGAAATTCTGTGAAAAAGAGCAATTATGCACTATAAATTAGCTGTCAGATCTTTCATTGACTGCTATTTAATTGCTATATATTAGCTGATACCAGAACTGGATGTGTACTTAGTAAATTATCTCACAAACTTTCCACTATAGATTTACATTGACACAGTGATACATGAAATTATTCTACTGTTTTTCAACATATTTTCAGGGTTTAATGCAACGAACAGAATATTGGAAAGGGCAAATGAAAAGAGAAGTAAATGATCCATAGAGATGGCAGTTTTCAGGCAGCTCTGAAATGTACTGCTGTTGTGATGTTTCACATGAGATGCAGTTTGGTTGTACTGTTTCTCCTTTCCTTTGCCTATAGCAGAGTACAGAAGCATGATGCTTCCAAATTACCACAGGAGATGCAGAGCAGCAGTTTTGTTGAATTAAAGCCCTGCAACGTTTAGCCTATAGCAGAGTACAGAAGCATGATGCTTCCAAATTACCACAGGAGATGCAGAGCAGCAGTTTTGTTGAATTAAAGCCCTGCAACGTTTAGTTTCATTTTCTCATCCATTTTCCCCAAATTTCCATGGAGTTAGATGAGAGAAACTGTATTACTGTAATCCTGTGTGTTTTCAAATTATAAAAAAATATGCAGGATTATGTCTAAAAATGTTTGGATTCATCCTGATGCCATAGTAGGCGACAGTGCAGCTTACCATGAGTTCTTTCAGCAGAAATACCTGCGAGTAGCTGGGGAGTCAAACCATCTGCTTCCCTAGGATGTGTATTTGGGCTAGCCACATGTAGGCTGATGAATTGTGAGCTGGAGGAGTGAGTCTTTGAAGCTGTAATTGCATTAATTAAATTAAAGTAATTACTTCAGGAATAGAGGAGAGAACAGCTTGTATGTGTGCAGAAACCCAAGTCTGGAGGAATAGAAGGCATTATGTGAGTCTGCAAGGGCAGCCTGACAGTCCTTGGCTTGGGCTGGAAAAAGGCTATGGTGTGTTCTGCAGAGCTGACATTGGCACTGTGCACTGAAAAGGCCATTATGTGTCTGAATTAGAGCTCATGGCATGTTTCTACACCTACAAATGGAATTATCTATTGCAGTTAGGTTTCTAAAAGCTACAGCAATGAAAGTATCAGTTTGTGCAGGCTTAAACACGTGTATAGAATAGACATTAGCAAATGGATAACCCCATTTTTTTCCATTTTAGAGAAACTGCTTAGTGATGTAGCAAATTCTTTGACATTATTAATGATAATTGGGTGCAACTGTCAATTGAAAACTTTGTAGTCAATTAATTGATACCAAAATTCTTACCCAAATCTGTCCTTAAATTTAATGAATCAAACCAAAAAAAGAGTGTGGAACTAAAATTCTAAGCTCACATGATAATTGTTGCTGTGTAAATAGCTCTCCCGATAACCATATTCTTAACAGATCTGTCTTGCTTTTGTGTCTGCTTTTCAGACAATGATTACCAGAATTCAGGACAGAAAATAATAGGCAAAACTAAAGGTTTTAAGTAATATATTTAAGCCCAGCTTTTTTTCTTTTTTTCAGCAGTCAAGAAATGTTTTAAATTTGAAAGTCTAAGCACTTCTAAATAGGAGAAAAAAATTTAAACCCACAGAACACTACTCAAGAAACTTTGAAGGGGAGAAAGTTTAATTTAAGTAGTTGAGGGCACTCCTTTTTTCCATGCTGCATATCACCTAGCTGATATAACCAAAACCCCCAATTTTTTTATTATATTACAGGTACAAAATCACCCTTATTCTGTGCCAAGAATACTAAAAGTTAGACATTTTATAGCACTTTAATTTTGAATATATTGAATATATTTTTCTGAAATAATATCCTCACAGTTGCAACACTTTTTATTCAGGAAAGAACCATTTTGAAGCCAATGAATATGTTCTGCCAATCACTGAGGGTCTATAAAGGATTTCCTCCTACGTTATGATCTATGATAGGCCATCCTATATTATCTGCAGAAGCAGATGTAGTCAAACTATTTCTGGTGCAGACACTGAATATCTAGTAAGTACAGATACAAAAGAAACAAGGTATTTTTTTCCCATTCTCCTTCTTTCTCATCAGAAAACTTCTCATACTTCCTGGAGAGTTGCTCTGTCACATTTCTTTCAGATTCATGGTCACTATATATTTTCTGTAAAACTTTGGCACTATCATGGACTGGCCTCTACTTTCTCCACCACATCTTGCCTTCTGGCTGAACTCATGGGTGTAATGGGCAGTGCATCAAGTAGCTGTTGCCCAAAGCATAAAGGAGGTGATAAATTTCTTCTTGAACAAGTGCTTGAAGACGAAGGTCTCTTTCACTTCTGAAATTTTTTAGCAGCTTTTTGCGATTTCTGCAGGCAGGTACAGTGTTGAGAGAAGTGCTAGGGTTTGGTTTTTTCCCTTTTTACAGAAGGCTTGCTCTTCACATATATTTCTATAATTTTTGCTTTCCCTATTAAACTGTCTTTATCTCAAACAATGAGTTTTCTAGCTTTTATCCTTGTGATTTTCTTCCCCATCCCACTGATGGGGGGTGAGTGAGTAGCTGCTGAGTTTCCTGGCTGCTGCCTGGGGTTAAACCACGACATATTTCTAAATTGCTTCTACCCACCTTTCAGCAGTTTCCCACCTTAAAGTCAAATTTCAAGTAAACAGTGCTATAGGCACAATATGTACATGGCTTCCTCATCTTACAGTTAGCATATTGAAGTACATTGTACTTTAGATGGACACATAACAATTAGACCTTCCCTGTATCTTTGCCTGTTTCCTTTGGAGTACTGTAATAATGAAATTTGAATGTTATTTATAGCTATTGCAACTTTTATTGCCAAGGATAGAAAATTTTTCTTTTATGCCTATTCAAATTTTTACCAGGACTTTCTTGTCATCTGATTTCTGACACTATAAACAAGAATTAATAGGACTCAACATAAAATGAAGCTAGCCTGATGGAAAGGTCAAAGTATCAGTTTACAACCATCTTGTGTCAAATATATAAGGCATTAAAATACCAATGCTGTATTCTTATGACACTATACAAGGGGAAAAAAAAGCAAAACAGTAAGCATTTTCTCATGTATATGTTTGTTAGGAATTAAAAGGGGAGAATTTAACTCCTCCTCAGCTAAAACTTTTTCTCAGAAATCTTTTGATGAAATGTTTTTAAACTAGGAAATCCAAGCTAATCTAAAAGGAAAATTCATCTGCAAATGTCTAAACTTTGTCAAAACGTCTGTCAGCTGGTTAGTTATGGTCTTGGAGGAAAGAAGATAAAGAAGAGAGTGACCTCCCACAATCCCACTACCCTGCTAGAGAATGCTGGGGATGTGGTAAATGCAAACTGAAGCCACTGCTTTGTCTGATTCAAACCATCACCTTGAGCTTTGATGACCCACATTTTCCTGATGTCTTGTGTCCCACAGTCTTTCCCCTTTGGTCAGCAGAGTGCTGCCTTTCAATGTCATCTAGTTCCCTCCTGGGTTTTCTGGATGACTCTTTTGAGTCTTTTCCCTGTGCAGAAACTGATCTGGACTAAGAGCAGGTCACTAACCTGGCAGATCCTGGACAGATGGTGCTGGAGAGCTGAAGAATGCTCTCCATGTGTAATGGGTCCAAAATGACTATGGGGGTCTGATTTGCTAGATAGATACTGCACAGTGTTTATGGACAGACATATTCAGAAAAAATGGAAATGCATATGGAGGCTGCTTCTTCTTGAATTTCAAAATTTAGAATACTGTGTTAATCATTGGGTTACTTATCACTCCAAAGAAAATGAATTTTCCCACTCTGGATTATGTTGTTTCTTTGCTTACTATTCTCATTATTGCTGAGATTTGGAAAGAAATCAGAACTTTTTAATGAACTGGAGTTGTTTGTTCTCTAATAATGTTTAGTTTTCACTCCAAAATAAAAATAATAAGTATAGAGTATTATTTAAGTGCTTAATCAGGCATTCTCAAATAATTTGTAGAAGATACTTAGATGAATTAACACTAAAAAATGAGAGACATTCAAAACTTAATTAATTAAAAGCTTGAACTTTCTGTACAGGAAAATTCAGCTGATTAATTTTTGATGCACTTTCAGACATAGCAATAATAGTGAATTACTACTGTGAAATGTGTAATTCACAGCATGAGATATGACTCAATAATACTACCAGAATTAGGGTGAGCCTAATTTTTTTATAGGTCTTCAACTTTTCTTAGCACACCTAATCTTTCCCTCACAACTAATTCACTTTTAATATATTCATTTCACTGTGTTCTTTTGAATCCTTTGAAGGGGGGAATACAGTGAAGATTCTTTTGTGAATGCCCATTCTTTGCTACTCTACATTCTAAAAGATATTAGAAATATTAAGCTATTAACAAAGACAAGTATGGAAATATAGGTCAGTTGCTTATGCTGAAAATTTTATATCCATTAAAATGTTGTGAATTTCCCTCTGAAATTAATTAAGATGCTTGCACTGGCACAGGAATGTCTCTATATAGGGAATGCTTGCAGTGCAGAGGTAAAATTAATTATTTTCAAAGGGTAAATATCAAGATTTTACGGGCACTTATTGTAGTTGCCAACTAAGAGGTTTTCCATGGGATAATTTTCCAAATGACCCCGTGCTCTTGCAGCTACTGGCAGGGGAGCCTGCCTGTATTCTGCTGAATTTCAGCCATTGCATAAGATCTCATTGAAAGCCAGATTTATTCATTCTTATACATATTAAACCATATCTGCTTTTACACTTGTTACCATCAACTTCTTGAGGTATCATTAAAAAAAAAAAAAAGAAGAAAGCATGGGAGTACCTTTATGGAATGGGAAAGAAAGGAATTTAAGGAAGGGTCAGATGATTAAATCACACAGTGAAAAAACTGTTATCTTCACTGAAGACCACTTAAAGAACAAAGATGGGAGGTGAAGGCAAGAACATCTGAGCAGACTAATATTGATTATGTTTATGGAAGGTTTTGGAATACCTTGTCACTGTATATTTCTTCCTATTTTAAAATACAAGTAGGCCAAATGATTGCATGTACATTAACTAGCTCCGTTCAAAGATGTATCCATAGAAGATGTGGGTCCTCTAGCATGAGAACTCTATGCAAACAGGATGATTTATTACTTTCTTCAAACTCTTTCCTCTATAGAATGTGCATCTCTGTAAATTCCATGCAGGTTGCTGTACCAGACACCTTAAAGAATTCAAGACAGAGAAATTACCTTGTTCTATGAGCAAACATGATGCAAGTTAAAGTCACTAGAAGAAAGTTTTCCTTTTAAACAACACAGATAAGTCACACGTGTATGAGTCTTGTATTCCTAAGTGTAAAAATTTCCATGATAGTAGTGAAAATCAGCAAGGATGCTCTATCCATGCCTTTGTGATCTTTCCATTTCCCATGACTTTCCTGCACATCCTTAATATTCTCGTGGTCACACATTGCCACCATCTTTAATGGCTAGCACTCCACGAAGTGTTTCATAAAGGGAACTTTCATCTGGTTGGCTAGTTTTACATAGAGCATTACAGCAAGCACTGAAACAAGGGCAAAAAAAATTGCAATCATATCTGCCTTCTTAGAATGCACTATGGAACAAGGAGCATCTAGGCAGAGATGATGTTTTGGTCTGCCTTCAGGACAAAGGCAGATCTGACAGAACACACCAAATAAAAGATGGATGACTGAACTTCATCCTAGTACTGATTGTACCCTACTACTGTTTCAAACTAATCTCACTGAGAGGCCTGGACATAATACTGAATACTCTGGGAAGTGTGAGGGCTGTAAGGGCTTTGCTGTTCAGGGCTTTTTATCATTCTGCTTCTTATAGTCCTCTTGAATGCTATTGTAAATAAGGTGCTGACACTCTTGGGCCACTGAAGGCACAAGTTCTCAGTAGCAGAGTAAATTCTGAAATTTTAAATGTTTTTGCAAGCCTTACAAGCACAGGATATTCTATTACCTCCAGGCAAGTCTCTGGTAGAATACTTAGCACCAAGGTAAAAAGGAAACCTAAAATGGCTACATTGAAATAACAGATTTCTTCAGCAGAAAGGAAGGAAATAAAGTTCCAAGTCCATATGTGCTTGAAAGATCTGTAACTATGAGTTTTCACATTTTTCAGTTATTACTTATAGTACATGCATTTAATTAGGAGAAACTGATTTAATATTTAGGCTACTGTCTCAAGGATGATGCAAATGCATGCAGTAACTGTAAAGACATTTGAATTGACAGGATACAGTGATAAAGCTTCAACAACAAATCTCCTATCTGACTCAATGAAAAGAAAAAATAGTACTGTTGACCCTAATTTTCCCAGATCATTATTCTTCCCCCTAGAATCCTTCCTGGACTGGCTTTGACCCTGTTCAGCTTATCAGCAGTGATTTCACCTGTAACATGTTTGACCTACACCAAATGAAGGTCTGCCTCACATTTTAAAATGCCTTTTTAGTTGTGGGTTTTTTGACCTTTCCTGGTGTGATGCCAGAGGAGGCAGAAGCAGTACTCTGTGTAACAAGCAACAAACCAGCATCTGATTTGTGAGAAATTTTGAAGGGCTGTTTCTGAACCTGTGCTATCAAATTCCTGACTCTTCCCATTAGGTAGGACTGTCAGTCTGTGAAGAGCCTGACACCACGACATCTCTGGGCACACTGTTTCTCTCAGCAGTGTTTCCTGGGCATGGTCACTGCCTTTTCACAGCTGTAATGGTGCGAGTTTGTGGAGTGGTTTCTCAGAGCTTGGCCAATCAGGAAAACTGAAAAATAAGGAAAACCTAATACCAGCACCTATTTAAAAATGTAGGCCCCATCATCAGGTTTGTGAGCCCTTGTTGGAAATGTTCTTCTGAGAAGCACTGAGCATGGAACACCTTCCCTGGAGAGAACAGAATCCTAACTTTGATTGGAAAGCAAGACTTTTAGGAGCCAAATCTTAGATACCCGTAACACTAAAAATTCACTCCTGGTCTCTCTGTAGGCTCAGATTCTTATCCTTACTTCAAAGTCAGCCTCATCTTTCCCAGCAGCTTGGAAGACAAAATTTCACCCAATATCTTGGATTCTTGACTTCAAGCCAGAAGCAAACTCTCTGATTTCCCTGAAGAAAGAGGGTGGGAGGGAAAGCCAGAACCTCTTTAGCCCCCATCTATATGATCCTAAGGGTAAAGGTTGACTTCAGCCCTTCTTTTTGTCAGTCTCTGATATAAAAATACTAGCGACCGTCACATGGATTTTTTGGGATTCTGGCCACACACTAAAATGCATCCAGACCCCCAGACAGCAGATGCTATCTAAGCAAATCCTGCAATTGTAACTTCATTGTGATCTAATGTTCTATGTTAATAAAGGTAGCATTTTTCTCTGGGCAGGTGTACTGAAGATGGCTGGTATCTGTTTGCAGACAGCTCAAATGGAGAATTTGGTCACACAGCTGACGTTGCTACACCAGTCGTCTCCCTTACGGGGCCCAGATGCAAAATCATATTCTGGAACCACATGAATGGTTCAACAATAGGATCTCTGGAGGTATGGAGATGCTCTTTGGTTTGGCTTGGGTTTTGTTTGGGTTTTTACTGCATGAAATTGCTGTGAGGAAATTTATTTCTCTTTTAGTTTCATTAAAACCTAGGCTGTTAATAAATGAAAACAAACAATTACTAGTGCTCTACTGCTCTCAATATATTGTGATCTGAAGGACACATTAGCTCAAGTAGTCTGGGGAAAATATAATGTCTTACAACAACCCAAAACTCTGACCTTTAGTGATATACTATGGTTGGAACTTCCATACAAGATAAAGCCTTGTATTGTGCAATACCCTTTGACACTGAAAAGCAACAGTAGATATTTGGACATTGAGGCATAGAGCTGAATGTGGGAGCATGAAAAAATGTTTGTAGAAGCAGCTTATTCCTTGGAAAGTTGAACTTACAACTTTCAGAGATGAATTGTATTTATGTAAGTGACATTGAACTATTTCTATGACGTGTAAGTAACAAATCTGCTTACCCATCCTCTTTTCTTCACTCCAGTTAAAATAAAAACACTCCTTCAAAGGAAATTTAACTTTTTAGCAGTTTGTAGATCAAATGAGTCACTGAAAAGGGAATGAATAAAACAACAACATGGTTCTAAACAATTATTTTTTTTGCCATACAACTGCATGCTTAAAATGGGATTTCCCGTGAATGTTACAAAATACCTACAGCAACAGGAATGGATCAAAAAAATACTCAGGATAAGTTACCCAGTCACCTGTGCGTTCAGTATCAAATCAGGTGTGGGCAGTGCATGTGCATTTAAATGTACGAATAAATTCTCACTAGCTCCATTACTCAGAATAACAAATGATAATAAAGAGCTGGCAGAATTCAACTGTTTTGAAAATGAAATTAATATATCTGTTGACATTAGAAAAAAAATCTGAGATGCAGTGCCCTTCAGTCCATGCATGTGACTTGCTAGGTATTCAGAGGAAGCATGTTCTGTGTTTTCTTGAATTTTTTTTATAAACAATGTTTTAAAATATTATTGAATTTCTCCCACTTAGGTAAAGATCTAGCTAGGCTGCTTGGCAAGAAGTCAAATTTTAATTCATTGGAATTAGAGGAAAATCAGAGGATAAAGATGATTTGTTCTCAGTTTTATGCCTTGGAACAGATCAATTTGCTTTGAGACTTCTCTGCATACTCTAGAGTCTAGGGTTACTTTACAGTGTAGGAACCCATGTGAGTTGGAATCAGGTCCACAGAGTGTTGTGTTGTGTTGAAATTAACAGCAAGTTCTATTGAGCCATACCTGATATTACCACTGCAAAAAGAAAATGTGTATAGATTTTTTTCTCAGTTTCAACACAAGGGAGTACAATTTCCCTCTGTTCTTTAACTGATCTTCCCCACACCCAGCTTCATTGATTTTAAGATGTATCAAAGGAAAAGCACAAAACCTTTGCACACTGTAACAATTTTCTGATTTCAATTGCTTGATTAATCAATAATGGATACAGAAAAAACTCAGAATATAAAATTATTTAGGTGGTTTTTCATTATTTATGTTATAAATGGTCTGAGTATTATAGGAATGTAAATCTTCTCTGTGCTTAAAAATCACTAAAGACCTTTTGTCCATATCTTCCCCTAATACTGCTACATTTTTATTTAATCCACAAGTTTGAAGTTTTGCATGTTAGTCTGCATCCATGACATCAGATGACATATAGGACTGCTGAAGAACTTCCTGCATTTTGAATATGTGACTATCTTCCTATGTTTCTATGACTTTTTTAAACATTGATTTGCTGTCACTTTGTTGTGCAACCTTGGTTTGATTATTTGTTGGAACCTTTTTTATCTAGTTTCTGTGCTTTGGCTTAGCATGGGTAACTCTACCTAGCTTTTTTGCAATGTGGTTGAAATGCATAGAGCTTCAATGTGCATTAGAGTACAGGGAAGTCGTGGACTTTAATAGCACATAAATTTATGGCCATGTTTGACTCTAAAATTTTAACCTCTAGCATGATATGAAGGAATTGGATATATAAAATTTTAACCTTTAGCATGATATGAAGGAATTGGATATATAACTGGGTCAGTTACAGTCTATGTAAAAGCATGTGTGGATGTGTCTATATAGTCACACACATACCTATCTTCATATAAATATATAGTTTGTATACGAGAGTAAAAAATGAGATTTTCTTATTCAGTACTCTTTATTCTCACCAATAGTACCTGTAATCCATTTCTCTCTCCAATTTATTTTTTTTCCCTTAAAATTCATGCCTCCTATGGGCACTACTTCTTGTCTATAAAGTCAAGTGTCACTTTGTTTTCCTATTCAATTTAATATATTATCTGTTCCTTTTGTCCCCCGTAATGAAAGCTCTTTAGTGTGATGATCTGCTGTTTGCTTGGCAGAACTTACCTGTTATGCAACATCATATACACTCATGGGACTGCATAAATTTAAAACAAAAGTGGTTTTTTTCATTAAAATGAAAAATGCCTGGGCTGCTCTAAGAAGATTACACAGAGTAGCAGTAAAGCCTTGAAAGCAGAAGTAGTTCAGGCAGCTGGTGGATGGATGCTTAGCTCTGTGAGTACTGGCTGGAGACATAGCTTGACACACTTCATCAAACACCCATCTTGTTATTGTCAGCTTGGTGGAATTTGGATGCCCAAGAGCTTGGAGCAGAGTGTATCTAGGACTTTCTGCTCATGTTGAAAAGTGTCCTATTTCCCAAATTCAATGATTATTTACCGTGGTAAGGGTGTTTACAAGTCTTTCATTGCCCAAACAGATGAAATTTGGCCTTTATAAGAAAAGAACAGGTTTTTATTTGTAGAAGAAAAATGTTTCATAAGAATCAGGACAAGAAAATCTATCCCAGAAGAGTTGTTTAATGCATGCATGAACTAATATATTTTTCAGTAACTCTTGTTAGTGCTGTTTCAGTGTTCTGCAACTGAATCAGAGCCCACTAATGAGCAACTTTTATTCACTGCTAGCCACTCTGGAAAAATTAATGAGATAAGTTAGTCCAGTTAAGGCTCTGGACTGAGTACATTTAGGAGGAGATCAGAAAATCTGAGAGCATTAATTACTCAGTATTTTCTTAGTATTCTTAGTCATTTACACTGGCATATCCTTTTGCATCAGGTAGGACATTCGAAAAAGGTTCTTCACTGAGGGACTGGTCAGGAACTGGAACATGTTCACCAGGGAAGTGGGCACAGCACCAAGCCTGTCAATGCAAGGAACATCTGGACAACACTCTTAGTCATAAGATTTAGTTTTAGGTAGTCCTGCAAGGAGTAGAGATTTGGAGTTGATGGTCCCTTGTACTTCCTCCTATTCTATGATTCTGTGATATTTAATGGTGGTATAGAGAGATGAGATGTACAAGATACTTTTGTACTCTTGTATACAATTCAGGAACCCTAAAGTGAGGTGGTAATGGAAATATTTTTTTGTGACCTGGAATTATTTCCTCTTTAGGTACTCTGTAAAAGCAATAACAGGACTTCTAAACTGTGGACTCAAAGTGGCAGCCAAGGTCCCCAGTGGAACAGAGCAGAAGTGTTCTTAGGAATTCGTTCAAATTTTCAGGTGTGTATTCCCATATTATGTGTTTCCTAGAAAGTTGACTTTAGTACTTCTATACTATGCATTCTTGACCTCCTCATTTCCCTTTTTGTCCCATACATGCACCTCTCTTCCCAAATAGCAAAAGTAATCTTTTTTTTGGCTGTCTGATTGGTTATCTGAGCTGGAGTAAAGTTCATGGAGATTTCTCCCTCCCCTTTATTCTCAGATTGATAGCCATTTTTAAGATTGAGAATCCTTCTCTCCTTGAATCCAACTCAGGTTAAACTATTCTATTTCTTTCTCCTAGTGTGTAGTAAGTAAAAACATCTGGGTTTTGAAAAAAGAATCTTGAGCATGATGTTTGCTTTCAAATAGGAGCAGATTCCCAAGGCACTTTGAGATCTTGCCATGCTTAGATGTATTCATGTGAAGCAAAGAACAGACAGTCAGGAACATGTTTTTAAAAGTGTTGCATTCCCTAGTATTTCTGTCTTGGACTTTTAATGAAGCTTTAGCACTCTTTCTACATTCATAGGAATAAATTGTGAATGACAGCCTCTTTCAGACTTACTCTGTGGAATCCTTGCTATTAATTCAGGACTTGCAAAGTCTGGTATCTGTGTTGCACAATTTATTTCCTTTTTGTACGTGTGTGTGTGAGTGCTTGGTTAATGTCAGAAGAAGGTCCTTCAATAACTATAGTCACAGATGTGTACAAGCTGCAGTACAGGTTTTCACAGGACAGTGCTTTGACAGCAAGATCTGACCACTTCATGTTCCAAGATTTTCAAGGACTATCCATTCTGCTCTGTTCATGTTGAGTGTATGAGCTTTTATATACCTTATCAGTGGCTAACTGAAATAGCTCTGTAATTTTTATTAGGTTATCTTCAGGGCAAAACGTGGTGTCAGTTACATGGGAGATGTGGCACTGGATGATATTACCTTTGAAGACTGTTCCCCTTTGCTCATCTCAGGCAGACCTTGCACATCAGAGGAATTCACGTGTGCCAACAAGTACTGCATCCCAAAGAATAATCTGTGTGATTTTGTAAATGACTGTGCAGATAACTCAGATGAAAGCCCCACTATTTGCAGTAAGTATGGAAGTTTTTTCCTAACATAATTATCATAAATAACTGTGCCTGCTGTGAATTTTTATTGCTTAAATACTTTAGACAGCTCATCAGCTAAGAAAGCAAACAGGAAGGTAATAATTTAATTCTATTCCTTGGCTTTTAAGGATTTAAAATTACTATTATTTAATTTAAAATCACTCAATAAAAAGTGCAAAGAGCTGTTAATGAATTTCTAAAAGTAACTCAGAGAGCAGCTGTCTTTAAAGCTGAGCACAATTTTCCTGCTTTCCATATGAAAAGAATATATTAAAGCTGAAAAAAATACTTCAAGCGTAATACCTAAAGTAACTCAGAGAGCAGCTGTATTTAAAGCTGAGCAAAATTTTCCTGATTTCCATATGAAAAGAATATATTAAAACTGAAAAAAATACTTCAAGCGTAATACCCTTGGGAGATGAGGGACCTACCTCCTTAGATATTTCAAGGATTGTCAGGTCTCTTAGCAAACCATTTTAATCTGAATGCTGTACAATTTAGGGTTTACAAGAGATTCTGAGAAACAGCATATGTAGTATCTGATTCAAAGAATGATGTTTCATACCAAATGGGCTCTCCTGGATCACAATACATGGTATTTCTTTCTACTACAATTGCAGGAAACACTCACACAATCAAATCTGTGTTGTTTGGTACTGTATGAACAGCTGCCTCATTTTTATGGAGATAGGAATACAGTTTATCAAATTCTCAGGGAATACAATTCCACCAAGATGAAGCTAAGGTGCATGGCAAAAGGGCTGAGCTTTGCAAAGTGTTTTCACACAATTAAACTACTCAGTGATTTCCAGGCCAGGAATAGCACATTGCTAACCTATGTGGGGACCAGTTAAAGACTTCTGCAACTAAAAATGAGAAGTGTATCAAGTTGGAATTACTCTGTTGAAAGAGATTTGCATATTTTGGCTTTTATTTCTTGAAATATTTAAAAACTGTTTACTTGTGACTTTTTTGAGTTTTCTGGATTGTCTGAATTTCCCAAGAAGCACCATCAGCCAAATAAAAACTGAAACATTATAGGCAAAACAGTTCAAATAGGCTGATGGAATTTAGCTTTTCAACCCACTAAAATAAGGATTTTATGCTGATTCCCCACTGGAAGAGATTAAAAAAACAGTTCCGTAAAGAAAATACTTTACTATAAAGTGGTTTTGAAAAATTACATTTATTTTTAAGTAAAGAAAAAGAAAGGTAAAATATTCCAAAAAACAGGGTTGTCCTAACTACATTTTAACTGTAAGCTTTACAAAGAAGTATCATGGAGCTTTAAAAGCACAGGGGTCATTATTGGGCTGAAACTTCTAAATCAACATGGGTTTTGTCTCAGATAAAATAACAATCCCATTACATAGTGTCTAATTGTGCTGTAAAACACTTGGTGATCAATTATGACTTTTTTGTTAGTTCTGATGGTGCTTTATTCTATAGCTTGGGTCAGGAATTAGACGATTTGACTTTCCTTTTTTACCTTTTATTTTATATTCCTTTTTTCACCCCCAGTTTTGATAGAGGTATGCTGCTCTAAATTTCCATGATATCCTGGAGAATTTGGAGTTTCTTTTATCGGTGCTCTCTCTGCCTTCTTTATTTAATTAATTAGAAATACATCATATAGCACTTGCTGAAAATATGCCCTAAATATAAAGCATTTGTTATTGCTCTCACTTGACCTTAACTTATTCCTCTAAAAAAATGCTAGTTTTCTGCAGATGTCTTGAATATATGGAGGGCACTAATTGACCTCAAATAGTCAGACCCTAAAAAGCTATTCAGCTTGACCAAAAATAGGTTGCAAAGTCTGGTTACCAAGGGCTTGGTTGACTATAATAATGAAAGCACAGAGACATCTCATATATATACAGGTAGGTCTTTCCTATTATTAATTTTATAGAACATTAAAAATGCTCTTTTTAGTAAGATACATGAATATTATTTTTTTACAGTAAAGCATTTTTTTATGAGTTTGAGTACTAGGTTGTAGAATATGTACCTAATTAACTTCTTGACCAAAAAATCTCTTTTCATATATGCCAATGTCTTTCAGGTACATCTATTGGGTATTGCAATTTTGAGTTTGATCTTTGTGGATGGAAACAAGATGAAAATGATGATTTTGACTGGAACCTCAGAACTAGCAGCACTACAAAACTGGGCATTGGACCAGCTACTGATCATACACTGCAAGAGCCATCTGGTCATTATATTTTTATCAAGAGTTCATTTCTTCAGCTGCCAGGACAGAAAGCTAGGATTTCTAGCCCTGTCCTAAGCAGAAGGAATAAAAACTGCAAGGTATGTGAAAGTGCAGCATTAGCAGAAATGAAGAATTTGATTTCTAGGTTGCACCAAGACAGTACTCCTAAAATGAATAAAGTGATCACTGAAATTTTTCTTGAGAAACAAAACCAACTTGTTTTAGAGATGTCAGGACTCATTTCCTCAAAAACATAAGAAAACATGTGTCTTGATGCAGGAGAAGGATGATTTCTGTAAGTAAATAAGTACTCAGGGAGATTCATATGAAGTTGACAGTGAATGCAGTGTCTGATTTACAATGTTTTATGCAACATCAATCTGAAGTAGTGAACAACTATTTAATGGTTTGTGATTTTATGGAGAAAATGTGTATAAGTACAGTAACAATTGGTTTTCAAAGAGTGCAACTACAAATGGAAAGATGTGACAGAAGACTTTGCCACCAGTTTTGCTCTAGAGAATGGAGAAATTTAATCCTTGATTTTCCAAAACTCTACAGCACATTGTAGTGACTTCGGCTTGATCATTTCTTAACGAAATTGTATGTTGACCCCAATATACAAAATTATTCAGTGCAATTGAGATAAGTGTATTACAAGTAAATGTGAAGTATAGAAAGAAATGTTGGGAGTCAGAGGAGGGAGGGATGAAGTATTAAGTCAATTTTCCTAAAAGAAAGGCAGATATGCAAAATACAAACCAGTAGTTTTGAAAAAATCTGTAGTCAGTCAGGAGAGGTGTGGTGGGGAACTCTGTGAAAATATCTGCTCAGAATTTAATGACAAAATCAAACAAAATTCAGCAGCAATAAAAGGAAACAGACATTAAATCTAAAAAATGCAAAAACATTATGTGGTTTAAAGATATATATTTAATAGAACAGCCTCATTTAAAGAAGGATTGAAGAGAAATAGAGCTGTCACCTGACAGGAAAGTGTCAGGTGAATATAAATATTTCCAAGCTAGAATACTGACCTGTAAGTTTGACTACAATGTACAGGAGACATTCTGAAAGTAAGCCCAATAAAACTTTCAAAAGAATTGCAACATGAAGCCCTCAGTGGTTTTACTAATCAATAATCAGAGAAAATAAATTAAATAGAAACTCAATTTTTTATAGTATATTTATGCAATGCAATAGACTGCAGAAGCCTATAAAATCTATAGCACCAGGTAACACAAAGAGACATGAATTAATATTTACATGGATACCATAATATTTACTATTATGTTTTTATAGCTATAATAAATAAGTTAGAGTTTTCATACTTTAGGGCTTTTGCCATGGATTATACTGGAAATAAATCTGAGCTATAGAAATGTTTTCATGTATTATAGCATGAATCATCTTTTTTTGGGATCCTACATAATTTTTGAATATATTCTGATCTTTGCCAGAAACAACATAATGAACTAGGTTAAGTATATACAAGTATTCCTTTCTTGCTTTTGAACTGGAAATAACTCAGAGTGCAGTTAATGGTAACAAATTTTCACAGCGATTTTTTATGTTCTGTATGTAGTTGATTTTTTGTACTTCACAATTTGTTTTCCCCATTTTACTAAAAACAAATAAATCACTGTTTTCTAATCCAAGGACTTCTAATGTCTTATTATAGCTATTTTTTGCATTTATCCATGTTGACATTTTGCTCCTGTAATAGATTAGAGAAGATTATTTTCTAATTATGCACTCTAAAATCTAGCTCAAGCACATTTATAACCAGAAAATTGTTCAGTAAACTTGTTTCCTGTACTGTAAATGGCACTACATCATTCCTCTGTTTCCTTATTATGTATTTTAATTCTTTTAGATTTACTGCAAGTTTTATTCAAAGATCAGCTGTCGAGTATTTTAATGCCGACTTCAAAGTTTGGCTTATGGAATAGTTCAAAAATTGCCACCAATAAGACTTTTTTTGATGCATTGTAGAAAAATTGTTTTCCAAACAGTAAAATTAAGGTATATTCTGAATGCTACTAGTAATGCTCAGTTGAAGAATTAGGGTAAATACAATAGCAGAATGTCTGAAGTCATCTATAACATACTTGAGGTTATTTTCTTCGCTTACAGATACTTTTCTATTACTATATGTATGGAGCTCACGTCGGGTCGTTGATTGTCTACCAGAGGACTACATTGAAACATGAAAAAATTCTCCTTAATCTTACTGGGAACCAGGGAAATTTCTGGCAGCACAAGGCACTGAGCCTGTCTGGAGATGGAAATGATTTTCAAGTTGTCTTTGAAGGGATAGCTGGAAAAGGTCCCAAAGATGGCATAGCACTTGATGACCTCACATTTTCCAGGGAGTGCTTACCATCCCAGGAGTTTTTACCATCAGAACCCACAAAACTACCTCCAACAGGTATGTTCCTGCTATGGACAATCTATGTAAATCTGGAAAGAAGGAATAGCAGCATTGCTGTCACTCTTTGTTTCTCCTTCCAAAGAGAAACAGAATACATAGCTTGCTAAAGACATGTAGAAACTAAAATGCTATTAGGCAGCCCATGAAATTCTAATAAAATTATTTTATGAAATAATTATTTGCATAGTGAGTCAACACTTGTGAATCTGCAAAGCTTCTTGTCCTTCCATCTATACTTAGACAATATCCTGCTTAATTCAGTAGGATTCATTTTATCAATAATTGTAAAATATAGTTATTGTGAAATGACTGAGTGGGACAGAGCCAATGTTTCCAATAAGGGCAGCAGGCTTTAATTCTTTTTAGCTGGCCAGAATTGCTAGTGATACTATTTAGGCACCAGATCCATCTTCCTGTGTGGCATGGTGCCAGCACTGGTGCAATTATCTGCACCATCCTCACTTATCACACAAGGGAAATAAGACTCAGCAAACATTTACCAGAAATCCCATTTACCAGATCCCAATAATGCCAAGGCAAAAGCTACTCATGAAAGCACTGATGTTGTTTGTTACTAATATTTGCTTGGACACAAATGATGAAGGAGAAACTCTTTTTGACAGAGCAGGACAAATCTTTCCCCTCCTTTCGCATTTATCACAGAGCTACTGAAATGTAAAGCCCTGAAGTGGAATTTAGGATATGTATTTTGTTCCTGGGCCTACTACAAATTTCCTGCATGGCTGCGGAAAGTAATTTCATCTCACTTCTCTGTCTTTCTGATCAATAAAACAAAGTTAATATTTCCCAATGTCAAGGACTACCAGGAGAATGGATCATTAATTTATGTGAGCTACTTTGCTTTGTTACTACTGCTAATGAGTAGCCTTCCCCTTTAGGATATCATTAAGCACTGCTCAGGCATTCAGAAATAACACTGATGAGACTACATCAAACCCAAGAAATTACACTGAACTTTAGGCACAAGAGAAGCAGGAAAAATGCAGGCAAAATTTTCCAGACATCACTCTGATAAGGTGCCAGTTACAGTACATAGTGTTGGCTTCCTGTGTCTGCCAAACCAGTCATGGAAATTTATTGCAAATGAGATTGGTATTACAAAGTTCAGCTTTACATGAATGTTACCCCAAGAGGAACACTAGCCAAGATTTCTAGTGCTTTATTTTTGTTGTAATCCAACTCTATCCTCTTAATGGTAGATGCAAGTCCCTGTGGCAATGTTAGAAGCTTTAAAAGCTTTGGTTTTGATAGCAAAGGATGTTCCAAAACACTTTTATGATGTATATAATGAAAAAGCTACTAAAATCTCAGGAAAGAGCCACCAGAGACTGATTTCTTCGTGTAGCTCATCTAAGATGCATCTTGTGGACTTTGTAGATTCACAACGCTTGGAGGAAATGGTTTAAATTCATCCTTATAGTGAAACTTCTTTTCTATATCAAAAAATTTCACTTATCTGGGATAAGAGTTTACATGAGCCATTGAAGCTCTCACAGCTGCCATTTAGCAGTGATATCTGTTTGGATGATTGCTTGAAAATTGAGCTTATAAACCAGGGTATGAAATCTACTTCTGCCTAAAGAAATATCTGAACAGGGGCAAAATGCATGCTGGATGTTGTGAAAAGTGCTCTGAGATGCAACTATTTTACCTAGAACCAGCTAGAATAACTGTCTAACTGAAAGTGAAACACTTATATTCATTGCTGAAATTTTTTTTAAACTGAGAATGAAGAAGAACATGAATAAGAGATTTGTCCTTTTTTTTCTTGCACTAGGGGGTATATCTGCTAAGAAAGTTGAAATGTTTCCTAAGAGAGATTTGTAGTTTTTGAGATCTATTCTAATACCATTTCTTTTTAATGTCTTTTAAAAAAAATATCTTTGTAATGCACACAACAAGGGAAGTTCTTCTCAGTCTTATTGAGCAATATCACTGTGCAAGGCAAGTATACTAAGGGGGTCTGTGATTTTAATTTCTGCCTGTAGAGTGCTATGCCATAGATGTAGTGTAATGACTAAATGGAATAGAGTTATAAAAGTTCCCATCTTAGACAGAGACATTCACTTTTCAGAAGAATTGTTCCCTGAGTCTACATAAACTCTTTGAAGTTCTACATATTAGCAAAAATATGTTCTAAGGTAGTTGTTTCTTTTGGAAAAGCATGCAATAATATTTAAAGACTGAGCACTGGACAGCAAGAAAATATATTTTTAAAGTTAGAATTGTCATTTTCTATAAACTGACAGGATGCTGTAGACTATCCTTGTGATGCTGCTTAAAAACAATGGTGTTGAAGTGGAAGGTCACTGAGAGCCACTTAAACAACAGACATAATTTTAGGCTAGCCCCTATCAACTTTTCACCGTATGAATATCAGTTTTTGCTCATGTCCTGCTATGGTACTATGTGCAGGAAAAGACAGTTTTGTCCTAACAATGCTATTTATGCCTGTTGCTGTGTCTCTGCAGTGTGGTAAAATTCTTGAGTTAGATTCTGCACAGCAAAGAGCTGCCTATACCACATCAGATGGAACAGGCACTGGCCACACTGAGCCTTGAAAATTTGCAGCTGTTTCTGTATTGGGCTCGTGTATGCCAATGTTTGGGGGATTAGGGATGAGAGAGGGTGTACAGAGGTGGCACACGTGAGAAGCTGCCAGGAGGTTTTCCCTGTGTCTGACAGAGTCAATGCCAACCAGTTACAGGATGAACATGCTGCTGGTCAGGGCCCAGCCCATCAGGGATGGTGACAGACCCCTGGCTTAAGAGATTTAAGGAGAGTTGTTGCACAACAGCAATTGCAGCCAGAGAGAGGAGTTAGAATATGTGAGAGGAATAGCTTTGCTGACAGCAGGGTGAGGTAAGAAGGAGCAGGAGGAGCAGAGATTCCCCTGCAGCCCGTGGTGGATACCATAGTGAGGTAGGCTGTGCTCCTGCAGCCCACGGAGGGTAATGATGGAACAGTTATCCACAAATTATCCCTGAGTCATATTTGATAGTCGTGTACAAAAGAGACATCATGGTTTTAGCAGCAACATCCTCTCTTTTCATCCCTTCCCTCCTGAAGTGTTACTGAGTCTAGAAATTGCAGATTCCTCCATCAGTTTGTGCTCCTGTCTCTGTACCATTTGCCTGGGAATACAACAGCTACCAAGGGCTGCCTGATCAGATTAGCAGGCTACAATAAAGAAAAGTTATTCCCAGAGACTAGAGAACTGGTGTCTGCTGACTTGTGTTTTGTAGAGAAGGCAGATATTTTCAGCAAATTGAAACGATTCACTTAAGTGCTCCATGCGTCTTTCAGAAAATGGGAATGCTCACAGAGCACTGTGTCAAGGTCCATTTCACTTGATATGTCTCTATGTCTGTCAACGAGATGCTGATCAAAAATGATACTTCCTTCTGAAGTTCCTAACATTTCCTTTTTAGGAGACCTTGTGAACCCAATGTGGGTTTGCATATGTAGTAAACCTTAATGTATTTGCCTTCTGTATAGAGTCTAGTTTCCCTAGGAACAAGTCCATAAGTATTGCCCCCTCCTCATTTTTGGCAGCAAGCTGTATAAGTGGGCTGCTTGCTGAGAAAGCAACTGTTTTCACCCTGTCTCCTTCTACTGAAAATGGTGAACAGCCAAACCCACCCACACCACATTGTTCTCTATGCAATCATCCTTAAGCAACATTATACACCAAAGGAGTTCCAACTTAATTCTTATGTGGAAACTGCTCCATATATTTTCCTTTCTCTGACTTTAAAAAAAAATTTGCTATAATCTTTTGGGATTATAAAATCAGGTCTGTATAGAGGATTTAGGAAATGAGTGAACAGTGGAAGATACCGTAACAAAATTACTATTTTTCTCTTTTCTCTCTTTCCTGATATATCCTAAAGCCTTATATGTTTTCCCTTTTTTGAACATTGAGCTTCTGTGTCCCTGGAGCTATTTCAGTACTCTGCCTTGTCACTTTTTAGGAGTGGTACTGATAGAATTCCATCATCTGCCTGTGAAGACAGATTGTGTTATTCTGTGTAATTCAATTAACATTGCATTTCATTGCCAGTCAGTCAGGATGCAATTCATTTGCTGAACTGTGGCTGTTTATCTCCATTGGAGTTTTATGAAATAACTGGCACACCTGTTGGGATTAAAGGGAAGCACAATGCCCTGTGATGGCAGCTGATGGCAGGAAGTTGCCCAGTTTGTAACTAGCACTGCATACATTCACCTTAAGCAACTTTATTTTCACAAAATACTTATCCCATTTTTCAGAGTTATTCCGAGCTTATATCACCCCAAACAACTTCATATCACAGGCAAAGTATCTTAACTCATTACTTGTGCACTTCCCTTGCCTTCTATAAGTAAGCATTATATAAGTAAGAATAGAGTCTTGCTATGTTTTTCTGTTCTTTGCTTGGGTTTTTGTTTGTTTTGGATGGTGGTTTTTTAATTCTATGCTGGTTTTTTGAATCATTTTGGCACAAATGTCTATTTCACACAGAATCTTAAAATTTGTAGAATTCAATCAGCAACATAATTAAGTCATAGAACAATCGGGAAATCAGATTTGCCAAAAATATTTTCATTTGAAATATTGCTCAAAACTTTTAAGTGTACACTAAAGGCTGAAGGATATTGCTTATATCAGTCTTTTGCAGTTATAATTAGATCTATAAAAATTTACAGACACATAAATAGAAACACCCTTGGCAGTTATTGTAACTAATATATAATTACAAGAACAATCACATTTTATGCTTCGGTGCATAATGTGATCTTCTGCTGAAAAGAGGAAAAAATATTTCTTTATGCACAACTAATTGAATAACAAAGCATTTATAGGTTCCTTTGAAACAGCCAGATTGACCATTGACTGAGAGAACAGGACGTGAAACAAAGACAGCAGAATGTCCAAAGCATTTGAAAACCAGTTCTGGGAAAAAACCCAAACAAACCAACGAACAAAAAACCAA